CTGCAATAAACAAGAATATATTGCATGCAACTGCTATCAATCCCGGAAGAACAAATAGCAATCAGTCCAGAAAGAACGCTAGATGAATATCGCTCAATAATAGGAACCCAATCAACTAAGCAAAAACACCTCCTCAGAGCAAGTATCGGACTCTATCGATTACAGAAGTCTCAGCTGAACATTCTGCTATAATAACAACTGCTTAATACACCTCTCGAGTAAGGAAGGTTCAGAATGGTTTCCTCAGAAACCTAGGCGCTGCAGACAAATAGCAACAGCAAAACGAGAGTATACGCTTAGCACAACTACAAGCAGCAACAACTCAAACTGCTCCGATGTCACTGAACAAAGCATTCAGGCGCTGAAGGAAGGGCTTAACGACGGAGCTCTTCACCATTCCCCATCATCTGCACCAGACACTATAACCAGAGAAATGAACAAAGAATAGTATTCTCTTGGTTATTGGTATAAATACTTAAACGATATTGAAAACGCTTCTCAAGCAATGAAAAGATTAAGCCAGAACAAACGATCTAACGATTCACCGGAGTCTCCTGTAAACAATGAATCCAAGAAGCCTACAGAAAGGTTTCCCTTCGGTATTGGATAAAACAAGGAAATAACATGGATCGAATATCTCATCTACGGAATAGGGCTAGAAGAGCTATTCACCTGCATCCTCTTGCAGAATATTGAGGCATGAGAAGATGAGAATCCTCGGATCAGCTTACTCCACAACCTACACTACAAACTAGCTTGGATCTCCTGTACCTATCATAGCTGCAGAGCGCATTTCTCAGATAAGGTGCAATACGAATAGTTCTCTGTTAGAGAACCAGAACAAATCCTTCAGGCTATTGAAGAAAAGGAACTCCGCTTCAGGAAGGTTCTCAATAGATAACACTACAATGCATACATCGGACTATCAGACAACTGCTTCATACAATGCATGAATAAGGAAATAAAATAGTAGCAGTGCAAAACGATACTCTGCACGATTCACATCAACGATAAGATTCGCAACTAGCATTAACAGAAGAAAGACTAGGAATAATAATGATACGAGCAAAAGCAAGCTAAGAAGCTTGCTTAAGAAGCAGCGAAGCAGGCTCAGAAGGATTAGCAGTTCTTAATAAACTCAAAAGAATAGGATTGCCTGTAAAGAGACTGCAGACGATCAGACTAGAACAGTTCCTATATAAAGCTTTCAGAACAGATTATGCTTATATCAAGTTCGATATATACATTCAAGGATACAAGTACAGCGCACTATTGAATAGTAGCGCTCAGGAAAACTTTATATTCCCATATATTATCAATCAGGCATAACTATAATAGAGATGAAAGAGATGCCCATATATCCTTAGCACTGTGGAAGAATAATCTATTGCATACAATCAAGAAGTAATCAATAAGAAGACTAATCATCTACCTATCTTGATCCAAGAACGTATAATCAGAGCTTCCTTTAATATCACGAATATAGCACAACATAAGCTGATTATAAGGCTCCTATAGCTCAAGAAGCACAATCCTCAAATCGATTGGATTACTAGCCAGATCTTATGAGAACAAGCTATATCCAGAGAAATAGTTATAATCAACAGCATAGGATCGAAGCTAGTAATTGAAGAACATTTAGGAAAAGAAGCTTTATACAACTTCATACATACTTCCAAATTAGCAGAGCTGGCAGTTCAGAGAGAAGGACCTAGTAATAAGCGAACCCAAACAGTGCCAGGGCGCCAACAGGTTAGCAAAACAACGAACGAAAAGGAAGCGAGACTCTCAGCAAGTCAGTCCGCCCCGGAGCAACAAGGAAAAGCTTCAGAAAGTGAATTGTAGATCTACACAGGAAAAACCTCGAAATCAGGCCCTTGAGCGCCTGCTCCAGCCCGGAGCGAACGCTCAAGGCTCTCAAAAACATCACCAAAAACAACGAACGAAAAGAAGCATGCTCAACGGTATCTACTATTCCTCCAGATAGCAGAAACAGCACAGAAACCAGAACCAACACTTGCAAACATACTACAAGAATATTACAAGTTCAAGAAACTGTTCCAGGAAGAATTGAATACAGGATTGCCAGAATACAGCTCATACAACCACGAGATCCCGCTACAAGAAGGAAAACAGCTCAAATTCTTTCTCATCTACAGACTAGACAAAGCATAGCTAGAAGCACTTAGGAAGTATCTCGATAAGAATCTCAAGAAGAGATACATACAACTATTGCGATTACCAGCAGAATATCCCATCCTGTTTGTATCTAAGAAAAACAGCAAGCTTAGGCTATGCATTGATTACAAGCAACTCAACAATATCACAATCAAGAATCAATATTCGTTGCTACTTATCAAGAAACTACGAGATAGATTGCAAGAAGCATAGTGGTTTACAGTTCTGAATCTGAAAGAAGCTTATAACCTAATCAGAGTAAAGAAAGAAGAAGAATGGAAAACTGCTTTCAGAATACGCTATGAATACTACGAATATTTGGTTATACTCTTTAGTTTAATAAATGCCCCAGCTTCATTCCAGAAAATAATCAATCACATTCTATACAAGCATCTGAATCAGTTTATTATTGCCTATCTCAATAACATTCTTATCTACTCTCAAATACTTGAAGAATACAAGAAATATATGGAAATAGTGTTGCGAATGCTTCAAGATGCAAAACTCCTTATGAAACCTGCAAAGAGTTACTTTCATATACAAAAAGTCGACTACTTCGGATTCACAATCGAGCTAGAATGCATCAAGCTACAGAAGAATAAGATAGAAGCTATTAGGAACTAGCCGATTCCCAAGAATGTTAGAGATGTTAAATCTTTCCTCAGATATATCAACTTCTATAAGCAGTTTATTAAAAACTACAGCTAAATTGCATATTCTCTTACAAATCTTACTAAGAAAGAATAGCTTTTCAAATGAATCTCCAAAGCATAAGAAGCCTTTGATGAGATCATTAAGCATATTATCTTAGAACTAATTCTGTATAAAGCAGATCTCTATAAACTCTTTAAAGTTGAGACCAATGCATCAGAATATATACTCGGAGAATAACTTGGCTAGCGAGATAGCTAAGAATATCTAAGGATTGTAAGCAACTTCTCAAAAAAGTTAAACAGCTCAGAAATCAATTATAGAATCCCTGATTAGAAACTTATAGCAATAGTGAAGATCTTCGAGAAGTAGCAATACTATCTTATTAGCATATAATACCCGATCATAGTTTACTCGAATTACAAGAATCTAACTACGTTTATAATAATCAAGGTTTTGAATAAGCGATAAGTTAGATGGGCAGAATTCCTCTTACAGTTCAACTTTAAAATTATATACTGCAAAGGCTCAGAAAACAGATGAGCAGATGCTCTTAGCAGAAGATCAGACTATCGAGATGCAGATTTCTCGGATATATAGAACATCTTCGCCCAAGATGAGTCGGGAAATCTCGTTAATGCATATAGAGAACTGAATGCTGCTCTCAGAATTGAATCTTCGGAAAGGGATTCAGAATCAATAACTCCAGATGAATAAAACAACTACATCAAGAATATATATAGTGCATCAGCATACAGATATCAGGGAGTCAGAGCAATCTATGAATGCATTAAAAAACACTGGAATTTACTAGATCTTAGAAAAAGGATTGAGAGCATTCTATAACAATGCAATAGCTGTAAGAAAAATAAGGCAGAAAGATATAAGCCTTACAAACTACTGCATTTCTTACTAGTATCTATAATTATTTAGCAATCTATTAATCTAAACTTCATTATTAAGCTATCTCTCTTACAAGAACCCTTAACTAAGATACAATATAATAGTATTCTAGTAATGGTTTGCAGACTGAGCAAGTATGCTTATTTTCTTCCCTACAAGAAAAGCAGTACAGCAGAAGAACTCGCGTATACATTCCTCAGAACGATCATCGCCAATCATAGCATACCAGAGGAAGTAATCTCTAATAGAAATAGAAAGTTCAACTCGAAGTTTTGAACTTCGCTTATAAAACAGCTCGAAATACACTACAGAATGTTTACAGCATTTTACTCACAAACAGATGAATAAACGGAAAGAATGAATCAAGTTATTGAACAATATCTACAATACTATATCAATCAGAAACAGAACAACTGAGTTGATCTATTGCCTCTCGCACAGTTCGCTTATAATAACGCAGATACAAGCATAATGAAGAAATTATCATTCTTCATATTCTATAGATACAATCCAACAGCTTATCATGAGGCATTGCAAGGAGCAGATGCAGAAGCTGCAAATAAGAGGATTAAGAAGATTAAGAAAGTTCAGGAGAAACTCCGATCAGAATTACAATTCGTTCAAGAATGAATGGCGCGGTACGCAAACTCCAAGAGGATTGAGGAACCAATCCTGCAGGAGGGAGATAAGGCTTACCTACTTCGAAAAAACATCAAAACAATAAGATCTAGCGATAAACTCGATTATAAGAAGTTAGAACTATTCAAAATCTTGTAACAGATTTCCCTAGTTAACTACGAGTTAGTATTATCTCATGGGATGAGGATATACTTGGTTTTCCACATCTTACTGCTGGAACTAGCAGCACAGGAAATACTAACAGACAATACAGCAGAAGTGGAAAACAATGAACCAGAATATGAGGTAGAAAAGATCCTCAAGCACAGAGGCATGGACAATACAAGGGAATATCTTGTCAAATGGAAAGGATACTCAGCAAGCGAAAATTCTTGGGAACCGCAGAAAAACGTTAAAAATGCTCAAGAAAAGGTAGCTGAATATTGGAGAAGGAAAACCAGTATCTAAGACGACCTCTCCGCCCCGGAGCGAGAATCAGGCGCTGCAGTTTCACTCTCCAGAAGGGAAGGCCAACCAGATACGCTAGGATTAAGAGCTAAGGAACTCCAGTTGATAACCTCAAGATGTTCCTGAGACATCAGACGGATCTCCTCTTTACGAAGACTGCGATCCTTCTCATCAGCGAACCCTTCCAAGGAATTGAAACCACGATGAATTATTTCTGCAGCACGTTCCTCCAGCAGCCTTCGCTGTTTCCGTGCACGATCAAGACGAGCCTGCGACGCCAGCAAGGCTTGTAGAGCAGCAGCGTTTGCTGACTCTGCCTCAGCCTCCTCGCTCAAAACCTTGCGCTTTTCACGAATCAAACGCCCCGCTGCAGAAGAAAATCAGTAATCACGGAGAACACCAAGGAACGAAGAAACCAACCAGCAGAAGCTAAGAAATAACCAGTATCACAGCTTTGATCCAGAGAAATACACTCCCCACAACGAGAAGAGTTTTCAGCAAAACAACAGAAAGCCCCCATCTCCTAACAATGAGCACAAGCAGGCATTTCGATACCAAAAGCAGAAATAAGCTCAGCAAGATGATAATGCTCTTAAGTTTTTACTGAACAACTAGAACACAATTTATTGATTCTGTTCAATATCTCGATTAGGAAGGCATGATCATATATGCAAATGACTTGCCAGAATACTTACAGAAGATCATTAGGAACAACGATCGATAGAAGGGAGATAATGTTATAACTCATTCAACATGCAGGTTACTAGCTAGAACATCCGGAATAACTATCCGGAAAGATAGGAAAGGATTCAACATTTCAAGAACTAAGGCTTACATAAGCAAGGGTTAGGGTTACAGAATCAGGATGGATCAGTGGCTGATCCATGGTGATCCGGATCAGTTGGATCACTCAGGTGATCCAAGGGATCCAACAACCAACACTACTAACAGGACTGAAGAGCTGAATATATAAGAACACGTTCATTCCCATTAGATAGATCTCGTACATAGCTCTTCAGTTGTCAATCTAAGTATTCAGTCTCATACACTGAGTAGCCCCAAAGGCAGTGAACACTTGCATCGCTTATTAGGACTTGTACGGTTCCGTATTCAAGGACTTGACACTTTGATACCGCTCTTGTTAGCATAAACCCCTTCGTGTACTTAGGAATCTTCGGATTGCTGCAGTGCTCATTACAATAAGATATTTTGTATAATCAAATCAAAGCTCTATAAAAGATCTTATATCTAATTAGATATTTCTAAACTATTTCTACAAGAAATTCTTCTTAAAGAAATACAAATTCCTTGCAGATAAGTATTATTTATACAAGTTTGAAGAATGAGAGTAAGCAATACTCTGAAGTATAGCAAGTAGAGATTAATGAAATTCTAAAGAAGAATAGAACTCTGTATAGATGCTATAGCTGTAGATCGAAGTTCTATAGAGCTTATAAATATATGAAACTCTGTACTATTATGAATTATAGAATCTGCTATGCTCTAGCATTAGCAAAGCTAGAATAGCACTTTGATAATTGCTTAGAATTTCTGAATTCTAGATTAAAACTAGTATTATATAGCTAGATTATATTTGCTTGAAATAATTCTAAAAGCGATATAATTTATCTGATTCTCAGTTTCTATAAGAATTAGCAGCTAAAGAGTATTAAGAATTCTTGAATCTCTTAATATATTAGTCTGATTCAAGAGAATGAGAAATAGTATAAAGATTCTGAAATAGCTAAGAATAAGATATTATAGAAAGAAACTGATTCTATTCTCAGATGTAATAATTAATATAGAACTAATAATATTAAGATTCTTAGCAATGCTAATAAGATTTAAGTAGGGAAGTTATATCTTACTTTAGCTTAAGCTGAACTATATCTACTAAAGCTTTCTAGTATTAATGCTATAAGTATTGAGCTTATTCAAGCTTAGATAAATGCTGATAAAGCAAAGAAGCGCTATATTGAAGAGGCTGAATATGATGATGATGAGATTAGAAGAGATGCAAATATGAGAACTATTAAGATTTCTATATATTTTGGGAATATTGAATTGAAGAAATCTAATAAGCAATCCAACAGTCTGAATAAAGAGCTAATAGTTCAAGCTATTAGTAATAAGCTTCTAAATTAGTTTCTAAACTATCTGTTAAAGATTTCAGGCTAAGAAATAATAATTATATTATTAGAATGAAGAGCTTGTTTGATTCATAGTTTTCAAGAAGTTAGCTCTAAAGCTTGAAAAATTATTAATCTCAATAATCAAACCAGCTCAAATCTGTATAAAGCAGATACTGCTGAATTAGCTAATTCATTGCAGCAAAAACCTGGAATCTCGATACTTTTCTAATCTGAAGAGCTTATTAATAATTAGATTATTAATACTCGGAATATTACTGAATATTTTTCGAGATTAGCTTAATTACTCGCAATTTAAGCTTTGTTTCTTATTGCTAAATCTAGCTATATCAAGCTTATTATTAATATAATTCAAACTTTCAATAAATTCTTATTTTCTTCTATAACAGCTTTTATAACTGTTTTCAGCAGCATTTAAGATAAGAGCATTGCTCCAGTAACATATATTTCTCTGCAGCTAAGTGTAATGAGCACTGCAGCAATCCGAAGATTCCTAAGTACACGAAGGGTTTATGCTAACAAGAGCGGTGTCAAAATGTCAAATCCTTGAATACGGAACTATACAAGTTCTAATAAGCGATGCAAATGTTCACTGCCTTTGGAGCTACTCAGTGTGTAAGACTGAATACTTAGATTGATAACTGAAGAGCTATATACTGAATCTATCTAATAGTAATGAACGTATTCTTATATATCCAGCTCTTCAGTATGGACTGTAAGAGTTGACGGCGATAATCGCGGTTCAAGGTTGCATCGACGGAACTGCTTGCGGTTCTTGCAGTCCGCCCCTGTCTAGTGAAACCTGTAACCCTAACCCTTGGTTACGTAATTTGTATTGTTTGCCCGATATTGAGTTATAATATCTGATTCCTTGTTAGTAGAGTCTGTTCCATGATCTGTATATTGGATGAGTTATAATATCATCTCCCTTCTATCAGTTGTTATTCTCAACGATCTTCTGTAAGTATTCTGGCAAATCTTTTTGTTTATAATCTTGCCTTCCTGATCCAGATAATGAGCAGAATCAATAAGTTTCGCTACAAAAAGATAGAGCAAAGCGCTATTCTCTGGCTTGCTATTTTCTTCCGTTATTCTGTTATGCTCTCTTATTCTTACTGCGAGAGTTGCAAAGCTCTCTGCTTTGCTTCCGAGGAGGATTCATTACGCTGTACCGAGTGTATTCAAAATAAGCAAGGGAATTGCAACATGTATAGCCTTACTTCTGCGTAAATGCAGAAAATCATCGTGCAACATTCGAAGGTGAAGGCTGAGCTGAATACTGCTGAGAAGGAAGCGATGCTAGCAAATGCTAAGATATTTTGTTTGCGGAAACAGCGCTGTTTGTAAGCTGAGAAAATAGCGCGCGCTATTCGTCGTAGTCTGGATACGATTGAGAAGCTTAACTGTATGGAGGCGGAGGAGCTGGCGAGGGAGCAGCAGGCTTGTATTCCTGTTGATCCGCTTTCTGAGGGGTTTTCTGCTTTGGTTTCGGGAGAACCTTCTTAGTCTTCTAGTAGTATGTTGGATTATTCCTTTTTGAGCGATGTAGGCGGTATTGGGGTTGATAGAGGTTCTTCTAGTGTTCAAGAGGATCGTTCTGAGTTGGAGAGCTTTCCAAAGAATGAGATTTCTGAGATTCCTAAACCTCGGTCCGGTACGGAGCGATCATCTTAGATGCTAGCTTTCTTTTTCCAATATTCAGCTACCTTTTCCTGAGCGTTTTCAACGTTCCCCCATGATTCCCATGAATTTTCACTTGCTGGGTAACCTTTCCACTTGATGAGGTATTCCCTTGTATTATCTATGCTTCTGTGCTTGAGGATTCTCTCTACCTTATACTCTAGTTCATTATTTTCTACTTCTGCTATATTATCCGTTAGTATTTCCTGTGCTGCTAGTTCCAGTAATGAGATGTGAAAAACCGGATATATTCTCATTCTATAAGGTAATGCTAACTTGTAATTAACTGGGAAGATTTGTTGTAAGATTTTGAATAATTCCAACTTTTTGTAGTTGAGTTTATTGCTGGATCTGGTTGTTTTGATGTTTTTTCGAAGTAGATAAGCTTTATCTTCCTTCTGTAGGATTAGTTTCTTAATCCTTTTGGAGTTTGCATAACATGCTATTTGTTTCTGAACGAATTGTAATTCTGATCGGAGTTCTTCCTGAACTTTCTTAATCTTTTTAATTCTTTTATCTGCAGCTTCTGCATTTACTTCTAGCAGTGCCTTGTAATAAGCTATTAAGTTATATCTATAGAGTATGAAGAATAGCGATTTCTTTGTTATGCTTATATCTGCGCTATTATAAGCAAACTATGCAAGAAATAACAGATTAATTCAGTTATTCTATTCCTGATTAATATAATATTATAAATACTGTTCAACAACTTGATTCATTCTTTCTGTTTATTTATCTATTTGTGAGTGAAATGCTATGAATATTCTATAGTATATTCCGAGCTATTTTATAAGCAAAGTTCAAAACTTTAAGTTAAACTTTCTATTTCTATCGGAAATTACTTCCTCTAGCATGCTATAGTTGGCAATAATCGTTCTAAGGAATGCATATACAAGTTCTTCTGCTATACTGCTTTTCTTATAGAAAAGAAAATAAGCGTATTTGCTCAGTCTGCAAATTACTACTAGAATGCTATTATATTGCATCTTAGTTAAGAGTTCTCATAAGAAAGATAGCTTGATAATAAAATCTAGATTAATGGATTGCTAAATAGTTATAGATACTGATAAGAAGTGCAGTAGTCTGTAAAGCTTATATCTTTCTGCTTTATTCTTTTTGCAGCTATTATATTGTTATAAGATATTCTCAATTCTTTTCCTAAAGCTTGATAGATTCCAGTATCTCTTAATGCATTTGTAGATTACTCTGATTCCCTGATATCCGTGCACAGGTGCACTATATACATCTCTAATGTAGTTGTTTTGTTCTTCTGGAATCATTGATCCTGGATCCTTTTCCGAAAGTTCAATTCTGAAGGCAGCATTTAGTTCTTTATACGCATTAACGAGATTTTCCAACTTGTTTTGAGCAAAGATGTTCTATATATCCAAGGAATCTGTATCTTGATGATCTAATCTCCTGCTAAAAGCATCTGTTTATCCGTTTTCTGAGCTTTTGCAGTATATAATCTTGAAGTCGAATTGTAAAAGGAATTCTGCTTATCTAACTTATTGCTTATTCAAAACCTTAGTTATCATGAATATAGTTAGATTCTTATGATCTGAATAAACTATGATCGGATGCTATGCGCTAATAAGATAATGCTGCCACTCCTCAAAAGCTTTTACTATTGCTATAAGCTCCTAATCAGAGATTCCATAGTTGATTTCTAAGCTATTCAACTTTCTTGAGAAGTTGCTTATAATCCTTAGATGCTCTTAATCATCTCATTAGCTAAGTTGTTCTCCGAGTGCATATCCTAATATATTAGTTTCAACTTCAAAAGGTTTGTAAAGATCTGCTTTATACAGAATTGATTCTAAGATAATATGCTTGATAATCTCATCAAAAGCTTCTTATGCCTTGGAGATTCATTCGAAGAATTGATTTTTTTTGATAAGATTCATAAGAAGATATGCAGTTTAGCTGTAGTTCTTAATAAATTATTTGTAGAAGTTAATATATTCGAGAAAAAATCTAATATCTCTAATATTCCTGGAAACTAGCCAATTCCTAATAGCTTCTATCTTATCTTTCTGTAGCTTAATGCATTCTAGCTTGATTGTGAATCCAAGATAGTTAATCTTTTGTATATGAAAGTAACTCTTTGCGGATTCCACAAGAAGTTTTGCATCTTAGAGCGTTTGCAATACTGTTTCCACATATTTCTTATATTCTTCAAGTATTCGAGAGTAAATAAGAATATTATCGAGATAAGCAATAATGAATTGATTCAGGTACTTATATAGAACGTAATTAATCATTTCTTAGAATGAAGCTGAAGCATTTATTAGACTAAAGAATATAATCAAATATTCGTAATATCTATAGCGTATTCTGAAAGCAGTTTTCCATTCTTCTCCTTCCTTTACTCTGATCAGATTATAAGCTTCTTTCAGATTTAGAACTATAAACTACTATACTCCTTGCAATCTATCTTGTAATTCCTTGATAAGTAGCAACGGATATCAGTTCTTGATTGTAATATTGTTGAGTTATCTATAGTTAATGCATAGCCTGAGCTTGCTATTTTTCTTAGATATAAACAGGATAGGGTATCCTGCTAGTGATTGCAATGATTATATATATTCTTTCTTAAGGTTCTCATTGAGATACTCCCTAAGTGCTTCTAGTTATACTTTGTTTAATTCATAAATAGGAAAGAATTTGAGCTATTTTCCTTCTTATAGCAGGATCTTGTGATTGTATAAGCTGTATTCCAGTAATTCTGTATCTAATTCTCTCTGGAATAGTTTCTTAAACTTGTAATATTCTCATAATATGTTCGCGAGTATTGATTCTGGTTCTTGTGCTGTTTCTGCTATCTGAAGGAACAGTAGATACTGTTGAGCGTGCTTCTTTTCTAATGGCGTTTTCGAGAGCCTTAAGCGTTCGCTCCGAGCCGAACCAAGCGCTCGAGAGCCTGGTTTCGAGGTTTTTCCCGTGTGGTTCCATAATTCACATTCTGAAGCTTTTTCTTGTCGCTCCGGAGCAAACCGACTTGCTGAGGGTTTCGCTTCCATTGTTTTGCTAACCTGTTAACGCTCTAGCACTGTTTGGATTTGCCTATTACTAGGTCCTTCTCCTTAAACTGCTAGCCCTGCTGACTTGAAGGTATGTATAAAGTTATCTGAAGCTTCTTTTCCCAAGTATTCTTCAATAACTAGCTTCGATCCTGCATTGTTGATTGCAACTATCTCTCTAGATACAGCTTGTTCCTATGAGATTTAGCTAGTAGTTCAATCAATTCAAGGATTGTGCTCTTTGAGCTATGGAAGTTTCATAATCAGCTCATATTGTACTGTATCCGTGATATCAAAAGAAGCTCTGGTTATATATTCTTGAATCAAGATAGGTAGATGATCAGTTTTCTTATCGATTATTCCTTGGTTATATGCAACAGATTGTTCTTCTATAGTACTGAGGATATATGAGCATCTTTTCCATTTTCATTGTAATTATGCTTGATTGATAATATATAAAAATATAAAGTTTCCCTGAGCGCCACTATTCAATAGTATGCTGTATTTGTATTCTTGAATGTATATATTAAACTTGATATAAGCATAATCTGTTCTAGAAGCTTTACATAGGAACTATTCTAATCTAATCATCTGCAGTTCCTTTACAAGCGATCCTATTCTTTTAGATTTATTGAAAGCTGCTTATTCTTCTAAGCCTGCTTTACTGCTTCTCAAGCAAGCTTCTTAGCTTACTTTTGCTTATATTATTATTATTCCTAATCTTTCTTCTATTAATACTAGTTGCAAATTTTATTATTAATATAAATCGTGCAGAGTATTATCTTGCACTATTACTACTCTATCTTTTTATCTATGCATTGTATAAAGCAATTATCTAGTAATCCGATATATGCATTGTAATATTGCTTATTGAGAATCTCTCTAAAGCAGAGTTCCTATTCTTCAACAGCCTGAAGAATTTGTTCCGGTTTTCTAATGGAGAACTATTCGTATTGCATCTTCTCCGAGAAATGCATTCTGCAGCTATGATAAGTGCAGAAGATCCATACTAGTTTGTAGTATAGATTGTAAAGTAGGCTGATCCAAGGGTTCTCATCTTTTCGTGCTTCAATGTTTTGCAAGGGAATGCAGATGAAGAGCTCTTCTAGTTTTATCTTATAAACAAGATATTCAATTCATGTTGTTTCCTTGTTCTATTCAATGCTAAAGAGAAATCTTTCTTTAAGCTTGTTGAGTATATTGTTTATGAGAGACTCTGGTGAATCATTGGATCGCTCGTTTTAGCTTAATCTTTCTATTGCTTAAGAAGCGTTTTCGGTATTATTTAAGTATTCATACTAATAACCAAGAGAGTACTATCCCTTATTCATATCCCTGATCATAGTACTTAGCATAAGCAATAAAGAGCATTGAAGGATATTGTTGCTAAGCTCTTCTTTCAATGCTTGAATGCTTTATTCCGCAATATCAGAGCAGTTCGAGTTGCTACTCATGAGAGTACTGAATATGCATTCTTATCCTGCTATTGCTATTTGTCTGCAGCGCCTAGATTTCTAAGAGAACTATTCTGAATCTTTCTTATTCAAGAGATATATTAAGCAGTTGTTATTATAGCAGAATATTTAGCTAAGACTTCCGTAATTAACAGAGTTCGATATTTGTTCCAAGAGAGTGTTTTTGCTCAGTTGATTGGATTTCTGTTGCTAAGCAACATTTATCTAGCATTCTTTCTAAACTGGTTGCTATTTGTTCTTCCGGGATTGATAGCAGTTGCATGCAATGTATTCTTGTTTATTGCAGTTGTAGCAAGTAATATTATTCTTCTTGCTATACTATCTATTAGCTGCATCGAGTTCTATAGAACTAGCATGCATAGTGCTACTCTAAGCTGTACTGCTATATTAACTGCTATTCTTGTTTTGGAGTTTCTTATCTGTATTAGCTGGAAACTTCCAAGTCTAGCTTTCTTCCTTTTTAAACTTCTCTATTTATTGCTTATATAGATGATTATTAATACGGATTGCTTGATTAAAGAATATTGCAAAGTTCTCTAGCTAATTCTGCTTGGAGATCTTGTTCTTAATATTATTCTTAAGCTTCTTATAGTAGTATTTCATGAAATTCTTATCTTTCTACGGAAGTTTTGCTAAGAGCTATTTGAATCTAATTATATAAGCAGAAGCTGATTTAGTCTGCTTGAGATTTATAAGCTGCTAAGCTGTAATGCATTCTTTATTGGAATTATCAAAAGTTTTCTTGAGAGCTTTCTCGAAGCTTTCAAAAGAATCAAACATATTCTTGATACTCTGGGTATACGCGCTGGGATCATTCTAATGCTCTAAGTAGTTGTACAGAGAAGATTTATATTAGATAAGAGCATTCTTTTCGAGATGAGTCTCTGCTAGAATAACTTTCTCAGATTTCATAATAAACTGAGTTGCATGATATAAGAAGTACGCTCTGCAATGAATAAGGAATCCATATAGCATCTTCTGATTACTGTTATATATAGCGGGTTTATTCATCTTGTATGCTTTTCCAGCGCTACTGGTAGTTGCAGAGATAGATTGTATCTGCTGAGCCTATTAAGCTAGCTGAGCTTGTTAGTTAGCGATGGTAGCGCTCTGAGCCTGCTGTTATTCGCGCAGGTTCTGGATACGCTGGATGAGCTGGTATATCTGATTAACCAGTTCTTCCTGAGTAGGAGCGCGCGAGGATGAAGGGATTTCTGGAGAAGCTATTGTGTTCCGTATTGCTCAAGGGGATAATACTGAACCGTTCTTGAACAAGAGTTGTCAAAATGTAATGAGCACTGCAGCAATCCGAAGATTCCTAAATATACGAAGGATTTATGCTAACAAGAGCAGTATTAAAGTATTAAGTCCTTGAATACGGAACTGTACAAGTTCTAATAAGCAATGCAAGTATTCACTGCCTTTGGAGCTACTCAGTGTGTAAGACTGAATACTTAGATTAACAACTGAAGAGCTATATACTGAATCTATCTAATAGTAATGAACGTATTCTTATATATCCAGCTCTTCAGCATGAACTGTAAGAGTTGATGGCGATAGTTGCGGTCCAAGGTTGCATCGACGGGACTGCTCGCGGTCCTCGCGGTCCGCCCCTGTCTGGTGGAACCTGTAACCCTAACCCTTGGTTACGTAATTTGTGTTGTTTGCCCGATGTTGAGTCGTGACACCTGGTTCCTTGTTGGTGGGGCCTGTTCCGTGACCTGTATGTCGGATGGGTCATAACACTAAGAGATAAAGAGAATGAATCTGTACAAGCAATGCTGAATACAGATACTGAAATAAGCTTAATAGCTTTCTCTTTATATTCAAGTATGCGCTTATTTTATATGCTAATATCGAATATTATCTTATACTGAACCAGAACTAGGGCGCTGTCGCCCTCGAAAGAAGGAACGAACAGCTGCTGAAGCAATGAGCAAAAGCTCGTGCAACCTAAGCATGCCTGTACAGATGAGAACAGCAAACTAAGGCTATACGAGTACAAGAACAGGATGAAAAACTTGTCTTAGACCTGTTCAAAGAGTTCAAAATTGAAAAGAAGAGAAAGAATGCTTGATTATTGCTTATAGCTAAAGAATTTGAAAAGTAGATAGTATTCTTTATATGTATGAAAACCCTTGATCCACTGTACTTCATATTCCACGAACTACCACTCTGGCCACCATAACAATACATATATAATAAATTAGATATAATGCTTATTAGAGTTCTTGAAACTGATATTTTCTATAATAGCTTCTCTAAATAGATAATATTTTATATTATTAATAATAGATTGATATTGCTAAATCATTCTATGCTATTAGAAATACTGTTTATAATATAGATCAAGCTTTTCTTTGATTATTTCATTTCCGGATTTCTCTATACAAGCTTCGCCTTTGGAGAAATATAATTGATTACTATAATCAGCAGTTAGAAACTTCTTAAAGAGGAAAGTTTATACAGAACTATATCAAAAAACTGAATGCTAGCAGCTATTCTGAGAGATGCAGAGCTGTTAGCAGAGAAGTTGTTCCAGAGTAAGTATTGTTGGAAAAGAGAGATATAGCTGTAATGTTCATATCTGAATAAGATATTGCAGCTGTT